GGGGGGGGGGGGGGGGGAAGATCGAGAGTCGGGGAGGGGAGGTTGCGTGGGAGCGGGATCGGAGTCGTGACGACGACGAAGAAGAAGAAGAAGATAAGAAGAAGAAAAGAACGAAGAGAAGGAAGAGGAAGAAGATAATTGGAAGAAGGAGAAGAAGAAGAAAAAAGAAGAAAAAAAAAAAATTGTCGTGGATTACTTATCTGCGCGGGGTAGCAACGACGATGTCGAGGATGGCATGGTGCGGCGACGGGGACGACGGGCACAGCGATGGTGACGTGGCATGACGACGACGATCGCGGCGGTGACGATGATGACGTGGCACAACGATGACAATCGCGACGATGACGATGATGACGTGGCACGACGGCGAAGATCACGACGATGACGTTGATGATGGCCAGGTGGTGACGACGAAGCAGGGTGGGGTGGGTTCGAACCGCTCCGATACCAGTGTGATGGGCGTGAGGCTGAGGGAGAGCCGAGGGAGAGGAGAGAGAGAGGGAGAGAGTGAGAGCACACACACACACTCACTCACTCGACACGACTGAGGGTCGGACGCAGACACAGTGGCAAGGCACAAAGTCGAAGTCTTGGATTCCGAATGCCGAAACAGCAAGTCACACTGAGTACGAGTACAGCAGTAGAAAACTGGTACGAGACTGGTCCCCGTACTGTACGGGGAGCCGGTATAAGTACCGGTGACACGTACAGTACCAGGGGCATTTCTGCAAAGGCCCCGAGGGCAGAACTGAAAAATGCGGTATTTGAAAGTGGCGCGTGAATTGCATCATGGCGCCAGTTGTCCAAAATCTTACGGTACCAAAGGAGGGGTTTGGAAAAAGGGTGCCAGGCCAAAAACGGGATGCAGCCGAAACAGCAAAACGATAGACCAGGGATCGAGCCCTGGCGGAGTCCGTAACACACACACACACACACACACACACACACACACAGAGAGAGAGAGAGAGAGAGAGAGAGAGAGAGAGAGAGACTTAGAGCAACTTTCCCTATCAGGGCATACTCGCACTACCACTATCCTAAATGCACCTGACCGCATTTCCGGCCGGACTCGTATGCATCTGGTCGCAATTCCGTCCAGAAATAAGGAAAAATGTGCTAGTGTGAGTATGCCCTCAGATACGTTGGTCTCTCTCTCTCTCTCTCTCTCTCTCTCTCTCTCTCTCTCTCTCTCTCTCTCTCTTTCTCTCTCTCTCTCTCTCTCTCTTTTGAAGAGCCTCATCTGAACGCACAAGAACTCCACGCAGCTAGGGGGGGCGAGAGAGAGAGAGAAGGAGAGAGAGAGAGAGAGAGAGAGAGAGAGAGAGAGAGAGAGAGAGAGAGAGAGAGAGAGTAACTCGGGAGAATGTTTTCACTTTCCCGGCCAGAAATAATCACGGGGAGGCTCTCTCTCTCTCTCTGTATATATATATATATATATATCTTTCTCTCTCTCTCTTTCTCTCTCTCGCACAGCTTGGCACGGCGCTCTGCCTGCGGCATTCAATGGGTGATTGAGAGACCCCTTTTTTTTTTTTTTTGGTCTACAGAGAAGTATCTCTGTTGTTTTCGTCGCGTTTCCTGTTTTGTTTTCTTTTTCTTGTGCAATTCTTTTTATTAAAACTTTATTTTTGGATCCCAGTACTGGTAGCTTTAGGTTTGGCGAGGGTCGGCCTACCGGTTGGCCCAGGGTCGGACTCGATAGCTGAGCGAAGTACTGGTGGTTTAAACACAGTAGTCCGGCAGCAGGGACTAAGACCAGACTGTACGACGTCTGGGCCATTGCATGGAGATCTGATACCTCATATTCTATGCAAGAGGCCCCAGATTCCCAAGCTTGGGCCTAGACATAGTCTAATGGGACTTCACTAAAAGTTACCAGTATCATAGTTAATTTGCAAATGTGTGTTTGTGTCCTGCTTATAGTGTATTGCTCTATTGCTAGGTTTGAGCTGTTTGCAATCAATTTCTTTGTCCTTTGCATGAATGATGTGTGCATCAGGGTCATTGCCCGGCTAGCATCATCCATCACGGGAGAAGAGCTCCCCTCAGACTTTTACCCAGTAGCACATGGGAATGCCAAACCATGCACATCTGCTGCATCTGGTGCCATTCGCAAGAGTTTGAGTGAACTCTTAAAAGCTCTTCGTGTGCTGCTGGATCCGGCAGAAGCAGAGTCACATGCTCAAGTGCATCCTCAGGCGGCACAGCAGGACCAAACCAAATATCGAGCCTGGAATCAAGCTTGGGCCAAGGCTTCAGCAGTTCGCTCCAGATATCAGGCACAAGGTGGGCCCCATGACCCTTCTCATTCCTCCAAGCTGCATGTCCTTGGTGTATTATGCATTATAGACCTGAAACCTGTGTGAAGAATGTGGTATCCACTTTGTATACTTACTTCCCCGGCAAATTTATGCTCTGATATCCTTGTGTGTGTGTGTGTGTGTGACACTGTGTGTGTGTGTGTGTGTGTGTGTGTGTGTGAGAGAGAGAGAGAGAGAGAGAGAGAGAGAGAGAGAGAGAGAGAGAGAGAGAGAGAGAGA